TCAACAGGGTCCTATTCCGTGTAAGTCTGACATAGTGCTCCACCCTCCTCATTTCAGATACATTCCCTCAGGGCTGCCATGGCTGCTAGTCCCGGGCACATTTTGAACTGTTAGGCAGCAGAGGTTGGGGCAGAAGTGGTGTTCTTGTCTTTTGGGGAGATAAGTTCTTAAAGTAAGTTCTGGACTATAAGAAGGGCAAATTTGGATATGTTCCCTATGCCCATCACACCACCAGTCCCCAGCTAGGATAAATTCTCTTAGAAAGATGCTTGTTTTACATTATTGTTTCTCAGTGGTACCTATTAGTGCTCTTGTAGAGTATGTGATTATTACAACGGAGAAGTACTGATGAGATAGATACTTAATGTGTTAGCACTGATCATGTAAAGGACCTTTAAGTTTAGCTGCTTCAGAGGTGCTTCTGAGATGGGATCCAGGAACACTGGACTTGAGGCAGATGTGGGAGGTAGGTTGTAAAATGAAATACACTTTCTTTCAAAGGCAAGGATTAACAAGTAGTGTGAGGACAGCCGTGACATATCTAATATTCTCAGAAAGCATATCATTTTGTTCACCTGAGGTATATATTGTTAGTAGTTGTTTTAAAATTCAAAATTCAGGTATAGAAAGTTATTAAGCAAGAAAGAGCCACTGTGGAATTGGCAGGCACCAAGATGGTATAGTCTCTAGAGCAGATACATGAAGTGTGAGCATCCCTTGCTAGACTGGGTGCACTCTTCATGGTCAAATGCTTGAAAAGTGGGATTTCAGGAGCCATCTGTTTTATGGTCATAACAACATGGAGTGGCCTGAGACCTGATGGTATACAATGGTAGTCTTCTTCAGACTGGTTGGGAATTCACTACAGGCCAGATGGTGTTTATCGCAACATGATCTTGGGGGTTTATTGCTCATGTCTTTTCTTTGATCCTGAGATGGTCAGGAGGTTACCCTCAGCTAAGCAAAGAGAAGAAAAGCAAAGAGAAGAAAAAGCAAAGAAAAGAAAATCCATATATTAAAAACATACATTAAAGATATTTCAACCACCTGGGTATCACCATGAAGATGGTGGCCATGGATATGACCATGAAGAGTGCACCCAGTCTAGCAAGGGATGCTCACACTTCATGTATCTGCTCTGGAGACTATACCATCTTGGTGCCTGCCATCAGATTAAAGTAAATTGCAGATAATTTTACTTGTAATTATTTCAGAATGTGCTATTTTCAAGAGTGAGATCTTTTAAAGTCACGATGGTACTTTTATCATTCCTCAAACATTGGTTATAATACCTTAATAGCAAATGTGTAGTTATCATCAATCATTTTTCTGTATATGTTGTAATTGGGAATGTGTGCTTGTGTGTGTGTGTATGCATGTGCTTGTATGTGCATGTATTTGTGCATGTGTGCATGTATCTGGAGATCAAAATCAGGCATCTTCTTCAATTACTCCTTATATTTTGAGACAATCCTCACCGAGCCTGGGCTTACTGATTCTGGTCCACTGGCTGGTCAGTGAGCCCCAGGCTCTCAGTCCTGGAACTACAGAAATGCTCTGCTATGCCCGGCCTTTTACACGAGTTCCACTACAGCAACCACTTTGATTGAGCTATCTCCTAGGTCTAATGTGTTATAATTTTTAGAAATACTTTTTCTGTGGATAGTGATATCCAGGTGGTTGAAATATCTTTAATGTATGTTTTTAATATATGGATTTTCTTCTCTTTGCTTTTACAATTCTTTATTGTTGTAAGAAAGCAGTATCAATTGTCACTTCTTCAAGTGGACTTAACAGATTCCCTTGCCTGATGATTTGTCGTGGTCCTTGTTCTTATTGCATTTCCTGGTAGTTCAGTGCTGGTCAGAGGTGCTTTGGGTGATGGGTAGACATGACTCCCAAACAAGGGTGGTGTTACTTTAAGCAGGATCCATCAGCCTGGACTGTCTTACAGAGGCTGGGTAAGTAGCTATGATATTCACAGAGTAGAGTCATTTAGCAAACCAGAGACAAAAGCCCAATGCTCTTTTAATGGTGTTACTTCTTCTACAAGTATAATTGGGATACCTCAAGGGAACCTTCCATTGAGGTGCCCTGAAGTAGCTGTTATGGAGGGGATATATGGGATGTGTGCTTGATTCTCTTCCTTTCATTTACCAACTGACTACTAATAAAGTTCAATATAAGACTGTGCCTTTCATATTCTGAAGGGGACCTCTTAGTTTTTACTTTTTATAGAGTTTATATGATTGATTAAAATATTTTTTATGCTTTATTGGAGTTATTTTTGTTCAAATATTTCAACATTGGCTAGTGCTAATCTTTTAGGTTGGTGCTTAAAGCCTTTTGACATGACCTATGGTTAGTGGGTCTCTCTGAGAGCATCTCAAAACACAGCAGGTAGTCTTCCCCATCACCAGGGCTTTAAGAGACAGGATAGGCATAAGGAGAGAGCCCGAAAGATAGAAAATACAGTTGTTTGCGATTAGCCCCAGTAGTGTTTCTTGGTCTGTCTATGTTCTAGTCATTGGAAGTGACTCACCAGGTTGTGCTTACACCAAGGGGAGAGGAGCCCAGTAAGCATCCCCAGTGCTTTGGGAACTTTCCTCCCCACAGTCCTAGTGATCTGTAGTGGCCCTGCTTTTTTAAGTGATAAGGTTTATATTTTTAGATTGCATAATTTAAGGGGCCCTGAGTTCTTTTAGTGGCAAATGGTATTTAGAGACTATTCTTTGTGCATATAATTCTAAATATCTTTAGTAGGCAGAACTACAGAGTTCTCTATCCTTATCCAAAATGTCTGGGAACTAGATAGAATTAAGAATTTAGAATTCAGCTCTTTCCAGATGTTGGGATATTAGCATACATGGAGTGAAATGAAATAGCTTGTAGCCTAGATCTGACTAATCATGAGAGACATTTAAAGGAGTTTTGTTTTAATATATATATTTAAAATATTTTTTTTTTTTTATTTTTTTATATTTATTTTTTTTTTTTTTTTGGTTTGGTTTGGTTTGGTTTTTCGAGACAGGGTTTCTCTGTGTAGCCCTGGCTATCCTAGAACTCACTCTGTAGACCAGGCTAGCCTCGAACTCTCAGAAATCCGCCTGCCTCTGCCTCCCAAGTGCTGGGATTAAAGGCGTGCGCCACCACCGCCCGGCTGTTTAATATTTTTATGTGCTTGCATTTTCAGTATGACTTGTCACATGAGGTCATGTGTGAAATCACCATTTATGGCTTCATGTCAGGCTTCTTGAAGCTTTCTAGTTTGGAGCATTTTTGGATTTTAGATTTTCAGATTAGGAATATATAGCCTGTGGTTTTCCTCCCTCCCTCCCTCCCTCCCTCCCTCCCTCCCTCCCTCCTTCCCTCCTTCCCTCCCTCCTTCCTTTCTTGTTTTCTTTCCTTTAGATAAAGTTCATGCTATTATTTCTCATTCAGAATCCATACTTCATCCGTGTTTTTGTTTATGTTTCTTTTTAATTTACTAGCTCTACTAGCAGCGATTCTCAGTGATACCAGCATAAGTATTCAAGAATTATTTCACAGTATGCAGATAAAAGTCTCAGACTGACCACCACAGATAACTAATTCTGTCACATTGCACAGGCAGGCTCCTTATGCCTATGGAAATGTTCTTCCACTGTGTGGTATAAAGTTTGATTCATTGTTTTCAGCTTTCTTTTGAATCTTAGGTTGTTTAATCAAATTTAATTTTGCAGACATTATGTTCTAGAGATGATTTATAGATTAAGTAATATTCAGAGAACTCTTGCTCCCACCATTGCCCCTTCCCTTCCAGTGTCTTCTTCCATATGGAGCCTTTTGGAGAAGACTAAGACTGCCTTGTTATTCTCTACACAAAAGCAATGTCATCCTACATGCATTCTCTTTGGACTGGAAGTCTCTGTAGGCTAAATGTATCCAGAGGATTTTGATTTATTATATTCTTAATTTATAATAGGTTTAGGGACAAAATCCTCTGGATACATTTATCCTACACAGCCTTTCAGTTTGTTAACACAGTACAATATGCAGAGTACACCATAGGCTGTGCTGCTTCCCTTGGGATTTCATGGCAGTCTGAATCTGCTGCTGCTGTGTGGCATCACTAGAGCGGACTAGATTTTATATCACTAGTCTAGGAAGTGGTAGCAATTCAGAATGTAAGTTAGGATTAGTACTGAATGTATTACTTTCACTCCAGTGTGAAATCCTAAAGTCAGACTATGAAAGGTAAGGACTGCCTATGTGCTCTTCTCTGCCTTGCACTCTACTTAATCATGTGTCCTGATGACTATGCTATAATGTCATATAGATATTGTCATCGGTGCCTTTTGATTGGCATAGCATTCTTTTGTAGATAAACAGGGTTGTTTTTTTTTTTTCCTTGTTGAGACACAATCTCTCTAGCTGGCCTTGGATTCATAGTCTTCCAGCCTCAGCCTCCCATATGCTGGGGTAACAGGCCCTTGCCACCTAAAATACAGACTGTGCTCTCCACAGTTTCTCTGGCTTCCTGTTTACTGCTTTGTAAGAAGCAGATTCCCAATGGCTCTAACAAGATGGTGAGAGGAAGGGCAGAACTCTGGCAGCTCCAGGAGCAGCTCACAGTGGTGAGCATCCATCTTTTGACTTGGTTTTCATCCATGACAGGAGAGCTGCCTTTTACATGATGCGCAGCCCTTTGTGGTGCTTGATGTTTTCTCTGCTGACTTGTTGTCTTAAAGTTAGGATTTTTTTTTCTAGATTTTGACAGCATATTTTTTCATTAGTCATATTTTCTGATGGTGGTATCTGTGTCATGTGTCTTCATGTTTATAGCCTTGCTAAGGATTTAGGAGTGGTGCTATCTGGAATTAACTTTCCAGTTGTCATTCACAAACAAAGGCTCTCATGTGAAAATCAAGTGAAATAGGCTTATTTCAAAATAATCTTTTGTTTCTTAACACAAATACTGTCTCCTTAAAAAAAAAAATACTGTTTTATTTATGTTGCAGGGAAAAGGACCTGGAGGCCAAGTTCATCATTCAAATGGAGAAAAGCAAAACGACAATCACAAACTTAAAGGTAAGTGATGAGTGAGGTTTGCTGCAGTTCTGACCCCACACTTACCCTCTCTCACTGTGGTGCAGGTGGATGAAGCACTTGATCTTTCTGTACTTCTGAGTTAACTGTGCCAACTCAGTGCAGTCAACAGTGTCTGTGTGCTCTCTGCTGAGGCTGAGTTCTGAGCCCAAGCAGGGATCTGAGCCTAGTGCTTTTCCCACTCTGCTTTCATCTGACCAGAAAGTCAGACTCAAGCTGTTGAAGACAAGAACTTGACACTTCTCCCCTATGTCTCCCAAGCCTGAGAGTTGACTGTATTCTGAGGATAAATTTTGACCCTAGATTTATTTGTTTTGAGACAGGATTTCAGGCCACCTGGCTGGCCTCCAACACGGATGAGCATGAGCTTGAACTTCTGATCCCCTTGCTAGGACTGCAAATGTGTACCATCATGCCTGGTTTCTGCTCTGCTGGGAATCAAACCCAGGGCCTCATGCATGCTAGGCAGACACTCTTAACAACTGAGCTACACCCCCAGTTCTAAATGAGAATCCATCACGTATTCTGATCCTTGATTATCTGACAACTGTTGTTTTTTATTAACTGAGAGGATGAGAGCTTAAAAAGGGAACAATAAAAACTTCATTACTTTCTGGAGAAAAATTAGATGAAAAATTTCACAATTTTTCAAAATGCTTCATTCTTCCTTTTGCCTTTAAAATATACTATTTATTCTTTTTGCACACTGGGTAACAACTTTGAATGCTTTTCACTCAAGGAGGAAGCAATGATATAAAAGTAATGCTAAAGACATCTTGTTTTTTTTCTTTTTTTTTTTTGGATATTTTATTTATTTACATTTCAAATGTTATCTCCTTTCCCCATTCCCCCTCCCCCAAAACCCCTTATCCTATCTCCCCTCCTCCTGCTTCTATGAGGGTGTGCCCTCACTCATCCACCTACTCCCACCTCCCTGCCCTTGAATTCCCCCACCCTGCCTTCTCAGGACCAAGGACCTCCTCTCCCACTGAAGCTGACAAGGCCATCCTCCATTACATATACAGCTGGAGCCATTGGTCCTTTCATATGCATTCCCAGGCTGGCTGTTTAGACCCTAGGATCTCTGGTTGGTTGGTATTGTCACTCCCCATGGGGCTGCAAGCCCCTTTAGTTCTTTCAGTCTTCTATCTAACTCCTCCATTGGGGACCCCATGATTAGTTCAGTGGTTAGCTTCGAGCAGCTGCCTCTGTATATGTCAGACTCTGGCAGAGCCTCTCAGGAGACAACTATATCAGGCTCCTGTAAGCATGCACTTCCTGGCATCCACAACAATGTCTGCATTTGGTGACAGCACATGGGATGGATATCCAGGTGGAATGGTCTCCAGATGGTCCCCCCTTCAGTTTCTGTCCCACACTTTGTCTCCATATTTGCTCCCTTGAGTATTTTGTTACTCCTTCTAAGAAGGATTGAAGCACCCACACATTGTCTTCCTTCTTCTTGAACTTCATGTGGTCTGTGAGTTGTATCTTGGGTATTGTGAGCTTTTGGGCTAATATCCACTTATCAGTGAGTCCGTACTATGTGTGTTCTTTTGTGATTGGGTTGCCTCACTCAGGAAATTAGACTCCAGAAATAAACAACCCTATTAAAATTGGGATACAGAGTTAAACAAAGAATTCTCAATTGAGGAAACTCGAATGATTGAAAAGCACCTAAAGAAATGTTCAACATCCTTAGTCATCAGGGAAATGCAAATCAAAACAACCCTTAGATTCCACCTCACACCAGTCAGAATAGCCAACATCAAAAACTCAGATGATAGTAGGTGCTGGCAAGGATATGGAGAAAGATTAACCCTCCTCCATTGTTGGTGGGATTGCAAGCTGATACAACCACTCTGGAGATCAATCTGCTAGTTCCTCAGAAAATTGGACATAGCATTACCTGAGGACCCAGCTATACCACTCCTGGGCATATACCCAGAAGATGTTCTAACATATAACAAGGACACATGCTCCACTATGTTCATAGCAGCCTTATTTATAATAACCAGAAGCTGGAAAAAATCCAGATGTCCTTCATCAGAGGAATGGAAATAGAAAATGTAGTATATTTACACAATGGAGTACTACTCAGCTATTAAAAATGATGAAATTCTTAGGCAAATGGATGGAGCTAGAAAATATCATCCTGAGTAAGACATCTTGTTCTTTCAGGGCTTAGTCCCCTTCAATTTGGAGATGTGAATCTCTGAGGCCTGCTGCTCCATGGCCAAGTGTCCATGGAATAGATTTCTGTTAATTCATGATCCTGGGCAGTGGATATTCTGAGGTTACTTTCTGAGTAGTACAACTTGATCCCCAGAGATGGGAATGAGGATACTACTGTCTTCCCAGAGGGCTCTGGACTGCCAGTAGCCATTTGCTTGAGGTATTCTCTACTACAATGCTTTTTTCCTGTACTTATTACAGTCCTAGCGCAGTGGTGCCGCACGCCTTTAATCCCAGCACTTGGGAGGCAGAGGCAGGTGGATTTTTGAGTTCGAGGCCAGCCTGGTCTACAAAGTGAGTTCCAGGACAGCCAGGGCTATACAGAGAAACCCTGTCTCAGGGAGTGGTGGTGGTGGGAGGAAGGAAAAGTACAGTCCTCAGTACAATTTGACTCACTCTGGTCTATCTTGAGTCTTCCTTCTTTGGTCTCTTGCATCTTCTCAGGCTTCTTCAGTTCTGTCTACCTCTTTCTTGTTTGTAACAACCTTTCTTTTGCTTCATGCATCAATGTATTCACAATGCTTTGGCTCAATTGTCTCTTGAATGTGTCATGTAATCTGTATCCTGTGATTACTCTCTTGCCATTTATTATTCATGAGTGAAGGACCACTAGAACATGGTCAATCTACCAGGAGCCACTCCATTAAAGAAAACAGATTTCTCCTGATGGTGTGCCGCCATCACCTGTTGGTAGCTCCTCATGAGCCCTTCCTCCTGGCTGGACTGTTGACTGGCTTGATTTTTGTGTAGGCAGCCACAGCTGCTGTGAGTTCATGAGTGCAGTGGTCTGGTCCTGCCCTGTCTAGACCACATTGTTTTCTCGAGTCCTTCCCGACTTCTAGTTCTATTTTCTTTCTACACTGATTTTGTAATGATCACTGAATCTTCTGGAGAGAGTATGTGATATAGGCATCCCATTTGTGACTAGGCACTCTGTAGGTACCTTTTGTCTGGGCTTTGACCAGTTGTGAGGTTTTGTGTTAACCATATTTCACTGAACAAAGCAATTTCTCTGAAGAGGTTGAGAACTAAACTAATCTGTGGATATAATGATATAAATTTAGAAGGTAGTTTGATGCTTTGTATGTTTAGCAAAAGTAATATTTTATTCCTAGGGCTTGTGAGTTCGCCAACTATGGGTTCATGTCCAGATTTACCATACCAGCCATGCATGCATTTCCTTCTATGGAGTAGACCTCAAATCTTATCAGTGCTTGGTTACCTCCATAACATTTGTGCCACCACTATTGTACCTATGGGAGATGCTCATATTTTTAATATACTGTTTTTTCATTGTTAATGATCTAACAAAAATTTAAAGAAGAAGATTATATTGAAAAGTACACTGTATCCTGTGTCCAAGGTATAAGATTTTGGAAACATAGGGGTTGTTTTGGGGTTCAATATAAGCTTAGAGCATGGAACATAAGATATATGCAAACATCTGTGTTAACCTCACAGTATGAGGTTCCGAAAAAGAAGGAAAAATTATTTCTAGGTGGACTATTAGGGAAGATTCATGGAAGAAGAGACATCTGACTTGGAGTTTCCAGGATGCCACCAAATCACACAGCTCCAGAGGGTACCGCTTTTACCAGAATTACTGTCCAGGATCCCTGAAGTTGTACAATGTCCAATTCTGGGGGTACCTGGAGAAAGCAGTCAGAGTCATGCAAGATAGACAGACAGAGTCTGCCTGAACATTGTTTTCATGTAAGCTAATTATATTAGTTAAGACCATAGCCACATACATACATACATACATACATACATACATACATGCACACATGCTGTAGATCCTGGACTTCTTATGTTGTATTTATTTATTTTTATTTATTCTTTAGGGAGACAAATAGGAATTAAATGTGGATTCGAGTATACATATTGCAAATGTTAACTATCTTGTGTTTTAGTCACAAATTTTGTTTCCTCATTTGAGTCACTGGTTAAAGGACATTGCTCTTCATGTTATTATTTTTATTACTACCTAATTTCCCTATTATTTCTGTGAAAACTGTCTTTCTAGATACCAGAAGGAGGAACTGGAGATTCAGGCAGAGAACGGACCAAGACCTTCACCTATGACTTCTCTTTTTATTCTGCTGACACAAAGAGTCCAGATTATGTTTCACAAGAAACGGTACAGTATGACATTCTCAAAATCTGGGTTGTTGATGTTATTGTTTTCTTATTAGGAAAAATAAGATTTCCCTAAAACACTGTAAAAGAACTCACTAGGTTTTTTTTTTTTTTTTTTTTTTTTTTTTTTTTTTTTTTTTTT